AAGCAGACCCGATTCAAATCCCAAATTGAATTAGGGTTTCACACATAGTCAAGGGTGTCACACGGTCAGGGGAGGTCAAGAGCCAAACATGCGCTCCGACGACCAAGGGATGTGCCGACGCAAAGCGAAACAATCGGCGAGTCAAAACAGTGCACGAATCGAAGTAAATCGGATAACCCGGGACTGAACCATCCCAGGATTTCCGTCAATAAACCATCTCGAAGTAAAATCGAAACAAAACCGAAGAAGTCAAGACAAAATCGGAACAAAACCAAAGCAAAAATGGGAGATATTATCCCCTATTTTTCGATCACAAAACCAACAAATCGAATGTGCCAACAGAATTGGGGAAAATCCCAACAAAATCAGGGATGTAACCGTCGAGATACAAGAGGAAAAAGCTTCCTCAAACCGGCTATAAAAGCTCTTGCAAAACAAGCAAACAGAACACAAGGCAACACACACAAAAATAATCACTCGCAAAACCGCAAGGAAAATCACAAAAAGAACGAATGAGAAGCTTCGTTCGTGACTCGGTATAAGGATGGTCATCGATAGTTGAAAGGTTATCATCAGGAAAGGTAAACTTCAAGGCTTCCAACTTAGATCTACGCTCATAGGGTCTTTTTAGGACGAATAAGCTTTGACTATCGAACCCGGGAGAGAGTTTTGGTGTATTTGGTTTTTTTCCCGGTCATTCAGCCGAGTGGGGGAAGATGAGATATAGTTGAGAGAGTTTGGGGGTTTGGTTTAGGGGAAGGGGTGAGAAATGAGGGAATTTTGTTAATTTTGGAGTATTTATAAGGTATGGTACTTTGTAAATATGAAATATTTAAATTATTTCCACAGTCCCTGATATTTTGATGTGTAATTCATTTTAGTCACATGTTATAAATTGACCCTTGAATTTGAATTATTTCGATTTAATCCTTGATTATATTTATCATATTTTACAATTTAACCCCCAATTTTGATCTTTTAAATTTTTATTTCTTTCTTTCTTTTTATTTCTTTTTTATTCTCTTTTAATTTTGACATATTCTTCATTTTTTATATTTCTTTTTTAACTTATTTTTTCCTTTAATATTTTTTTTATTATTTATTTCTTTTAAAATTTTCTTCATTTTATTTTATTTTATTTTATTTTTATTTTACTTTTCTCTTTTAACATTGTTTTTTGTTAATTTCTTAATATAACCCTTTTTCTTCTTTGATTTATTTAATATTTATTTTATTTTATGATCTAACGTTTTTTACCTTCTAGGGGAAATTTTAATCGATCAAAGGTAAGTAATTCGGATACAATTTTAATTTTTAATTTAACTTTTATTTTTTGCAATTAAGACAACTGTGAAATTAAATTGGTACTGAAAGGGCAGTACAAGGGTTTTAATCCTTCATTGACTGTAATCGACTCCCAAACCCGATATATTTCTGGTAAAATACAGATCAGGTAAAATGGTCAATTAAGGTATCCGGCCAACCTAATGATCGGTGGCGACTCTTACACGTTTATTTAAGTCGAAGTCCAATTCCGGACCCACCAAAAGGACGGTCACGACAATGCCCAAAATAATATCATTTTAGGAACTAAACTTTAGTGGTATACAATTTTAAACTAGAATTTTGAATAATTCCATTTTTGGCACTGTAATTTTCTGATTACTGTTAATATTCAATCACCGCCATCACTGATCATCTTTTGCAGCAAGATCGATATTAAAACATTCAATTTCACTTCTCTTTCTTCTCTTAAGATTGATTTTTCACAAAACTCATTTAAAAGTTTGATGTGCTAATACTCTGTTCACTTTCGATGATCATTAGATGAGGCTAGTTTTGAGGTATATTGTTCCTTTCTCAAAATAAGGCTTCTCTTCGTTCGGAATTTCGAACAAAACTCAAAATCCTTCAAATCTAAGAAAACCTTTAAATCCCTAAAAATAGTATATTTTTTGTTTAGTTTCGTCAATTTTGAATGAATTTTGTGGAAAATCAGTCTTAGGAAAAGAAGAAAAAAAAAAGAGAAATGCAAATACTTTGGTACCGATCTTGTTGTGAAAGACAACTGGTGATGGGTGGTGATTGACTGTCGACGGTAGTTAAAAAATTGTGGAACCAAGAATGTGTCTATTTAGAAGTTTATTAACAAAATCGATATACCCTTAAAGTTTAGTAACTAAAACGACATCGTTTTAAGCATTAATAGTTGCAACAAAACGATTTTGTTTTGTCCATGTTATCACACCATTTGGATTTGAATGGGCTAATGGCATTGAAGTTAAAACTAAAGTTCAATACTATAATTGACGAAATTGAAAGCTCAATGATATAATCGATACACTACCTAAAGTTAAGTGGTATATGATGTGCGTGTGTATATACACCTCGCATGAGATTTCTCTCTAATATCTCATCATCGCCATTAAAATGCAGGAAATTGATCAGTAAAATCACAATGGTTATCCCATCATCGCCATCGGCGTGAACATCATAAGCAGAAACTTTTGCCACAATGTGGAAATGACTAGAGAAAGTCGATGAAAGAAAATTTCCTCTTACAAAAGAGCATTGGATGAATTTTCTCTTCTTCAAATTACTGGAAAACAAGAGCTTAACAATATCAAAGAAAGAAGCTTCCTTTACGTTTATAATCAAATAATGTGTACAAAAGCCATTGTCGCACGTTTTGGCTTCCATGGTTGATCTTTGGTAATCTGCTTTGGTCCCAATTTTATAGGCAAAAAAATAGTGAATTTAAGTTACACCTTTTTACGTAGGTTGGCATCACGAATGGAACAGTTGCCTCTCTAATATCTATCTTACACATTTACATAATAAAGCATCGTTAGCATGCAAAAAGGTTAGTAGGTCTAATGAAAACTAAGTGTCACGTCAGCAAAAATCTAACGGATGTAATGATAGAGACAGAAATAAAAACGAACTAAAAATTCAATGGATGTATTACAAGTTTCAAAATTTTAATGACCAAAATACAACCACCCTAAAAATTTAGAGACTAATTTTACATTTTACTCTTAACTTTATTCTAAAATTTATAAATTTATAAAATTTCGTGTCTACCTTTATCTGTCGTCCTAATAACAACGTCACTTTGATACTAGTCACTATCATCCACCATCATATCATCCCCACCTACTCTGTAATTCCATAAGTTTAGAACGCTTGAAACTTTAATCCACCCAAAGTCACAAAAACCCAAATTTCCTATAACAAATTCACCCTCGTTTAATTTCCCAACAGGCGAACACCGGCTGTAAGGATGTAATTGAGTAGAGTTGAATTCGAGTATTAATGAATTCGACTCGATTTGAAAAGTCTAAAATAAATATCAGTTCGACTCAAAACCTCGCGAGCTTAAAATTTTCAAGTTCGACTCGAACTCAAAACTATGAATTGAATCTCGTAAAAGATCGAAATGAAGAAAAAAATTCTCAAACTTAACTTGACTGAAATCTTAAACTCAAAATTAAATCTTAAATATATAAAAACTTTATATTATATTTTTAAAAAAATTAATATATAAATGTTAATATTATTAATAATTTATTTTTAAAAATAAAATCTTAACATATTTATATTTTCGAGCTTTTTGCGAGATTTTTGAATTGAATATCAAGTAATTTATTTCGACTCATTAAGAACTTGTGTTAAACTCAAACTTGAATGAAATATTTATCAAATTTTAATAGAATTTATCTCAAATAACTCATGATATGTCTTTTTCAATAAGATCAAATGTTTTTTTTTTTAAATGGTAAAGCTATTTGTGTTCTTAAATTCTTTGTTACTGGCCAAAGAAAGAGAGAGAAATAGGAAAGCTCATATCATTCGATTGCGTTGCCATTGCACCTGTCAACTCTTGAACAAAAATCAATGCAGAACAGTTGGGTAAACATTAATGACATGATAATATCATAAAATAAAATGCAGACAAAATTCTCTTTCATTTTCTTACATGGAGACTATTTTTTCTGGATTTTGCACGGTATCCGCTTTAATTAAATTAGGAATATGTATAAATTTAATAGATAGTGGGTAGGTATGGATATAAAAAATTATATTTATCGTAGATAGTGAATAGATGATGAATTTAAAATTTTATTCAATCTGCATCCGTCAACATCACATCAATCAGTTCACTAATTACTCATTGTATAAATTTTATACAATTATAAATTTAGGTATAATTTCAGAGACTAATTTATATATCTTAAAATTTTATAGTATATGACTTATAATTTAACCAAATATTAGGGTATAATTTTTTTAAAGTCAATTTTCTATCTTTAGAATCAATTTTTCTTTATTAAACTAGTGATCGTCACCTCCGTTCGTACTTTTCTTTTTTGTCGCCGTCTTCTTTTGTAAGTTTTTCTTTGCTCGTTCTCTTGTATGTTTTGCTTCATGTTTGTTATGTTTTGCTTTTTAATGTACATATTTGTTTTATGTTTTGTTGCTTATGCAATTTGTAAGGTTGTTGTCAGATGGCATGGGCGGGTACAAATAGGTACGAGATGGGTGGTGGGTATCCAATTAGATAATGTGTGTGGGGATAGATTTAATAATATACTCGTGTGAGTGAGTATATATTTAAAAAATTTATCCGTCGTGAGTGGTGAGTAGGTTCTAGGTACAAAAATATTAAGTGGGTATGAGGATAGAAGAAGAGGTATCTGTACCCGTTCCGCCTGTTTGTCATCCCTTCATATAGTTTTATATTTTATTATGTTAAGATTTCAATAAAGAATCATTGTTAAAAATGTAATTATGAAAAAGTTATTTTATAATGTTTTATATATACTTGAAACAATTAAATTATTTGGAAATTGAATATTACTCTCCCTGTAACTTAAGTTAGGTTCGGTTTTTTTGACCACTTAACATCCGAGGGGTAAAGTGAAGGAATTTTCCACGGCGACTCAGTTTAAAAGGCAATTCGAAGTTCAAGCATCTTCCCTTGCTTGTCCCACTCAAAATCTAACAGGGTGTGAAGAGATGCAAAACCAGAGAGGCCATGCTCATGTCTTGGTGGTCACCTACCCTGCACAAGGCCACATCAATCCTCTCCTCCAGTTCGCTAAACGTTTAACCTCCAAAGGAGTGAAGACCACCGTAGCCACCACCCCTTACACCATCGACTCCGTCAACGTAGACACTGCGATAGCCGTGGAGCCAATCTCTGATGGCTTCGATGAAGGAGGGTTCAACCAAGCTCCAACTCTAGAAGCCTACTTGGACTCCTTCAAAACTGCCGGCTCTAAAACTTTGGCAGAGCTGATAATTAAGCTCAACAACTCCGGGACGCCCGTCTGTTGTGTTGTGTATGATTCGTTGCTTTCTTGGGCTCTCGGTGTAGCCAAGGGATTCGGCATCCCTGCGGCTATAATGTTGACGAACTCGGCTACGGTGTGCTCGTTTTATTGGCAAATCGATCGAGGAGGCTTGACTTTGCCTGTGGAACAAGAAACCTTAGCAGCCCCGATGGTGCCTGGCTTGCCGTCCCTCGACATCGCTGATCTGCCGAGTTTTCTTGCCCAGCCGACGAATCAATCTGCTTATTTAGCACTGATCTTGGACAAACTTGGCACCCTGGATGAAAATGATTGGGTTTTCTGTAACTCCTTTGATGACCTCGAAAGTGCGGTAATTAACTAGATCCTCTTGTTAATCTTAAATTTCTTTCTTTTAGGGTAAAACATGCATTTAGTACATAAATTATTATTTTTAATTCGTTTTAATACCTAAATTTTCATTTTTTTTTCAAAATCATTACTAATATTTAGTTTTTGTTTCACTGTTAAAAACTTAACACGTTTAGTACCTAAAATATTAGTTTTTGTCTGTTTTAACACCTAAACTTTTAACTTTTTTAAACTTAACGTTAAATTTTGAACATGGATACTAAAATGAAACAAAAACTAAATTTTAGGTATGATTTTTAAAAATTTAAAAATTTAAGTACTAAAACGAATTAAAACTGATAATTTAGATATTAAACATATAATTTTTCATTCTTTTTAATTGTTAAATATTTTCTTGATTGTCCTTTTAAGTGTTTTAAGTTTTTACTACGTGAAAGACGTTAAAATAAAGGGTAAAGAACGAAAATTATCCTTTGATTATAGAATATTGTTTTATTAAACATTCTACTATTAAAAGGTACAAAATGATCTTTTAACTATGAAGTGTTACTTTATTGAGTTCCTCAACTATTAAAAGTTACAAAATAATCACCTGATCATTCAGTATGTTACAAACTCGTCTTTTTACGTTAAAAAATGGACTATATTCTGAATTGAACGTTAACATGTTGACTATGATATGATAAAATTATTGAACGTTAACATGTTGACTATGATATGATAAAATTTACTCTCAAACTCTCAAACGACTATCAGATCACAGTCATCATGTTAGCATCCAGCTTAAACAACTACTAATTTTTAACAAAAAATGACAAGTCTGAAACATCATGAATAGTCGGTTGATCATTTTGTAATTTTTAATAGTTGAGGGGCTTAACAAAGTAACATTCCATAGTCGAAGGATCATTTTTTAATTTTTAATAGTCGATTGAGTTAATAAAACAATATCATATATTCGATCTCAAATTATTATTTAGTCCTAATCCTTTGCCGTCGTCACCAACCTCAAACATTCGTCCACCCGTCGCCGGATCCCAATTTCGTCCAATTCTATGCCTAATATACCTTCTCCGATTCTATGCTTATCTGAAAATAATTTTTCCTTTAATTGCAAGAGAAGAATTCCTTTCGAAGCCAAATAGTCCTTTCTTAGGGCAAGGAATCGAGTGCATTAAAGCCAAGGGAAAGCAGCCCTCCCTTGGCAACTCGTCACCGGAGACGATAAAGGGGAAAGACAATTAGAGGGAAAGTGATTAAGGATGAGAGCCCTGAGATTTTGGTATTGGGAATTTAGGGATTTAAGGCTATGTAAAAGGATGAACATTCAATGGAGATGTGTTCTGTTAATATAAGAGAAATTTTAAGTTATTTTAATAAAATTAAAAAAAGTGTATATGACCTTCGCATATTATATTTTGAATGACGAATTTTTTTATGACGATTAATTGTTAAACATTTTAAAAAATATATTAATCAATTATTTTGATCCGGAAAAATTTTAGACAAAAAAAAAACATGAGATATAATTTACATTAAGCCTTTAATTAACGACTGGTAATTCTGAATTCTATTTACAAGATCATCAAGTTCATTTTTCTCATTATCTTGGCTGCTTGTTTTCCTTTGATAAAGCTTGTCGAGGCTCTGGCGGCGGAGTGGCCCGTGGTAACGATCGGTCCCATGGTGCCATCATTCTACTTGGATCGTCGAATCGAAGGAGATACAAGCTATGGGGCTAGCCTGTGGAACCATGGTAACGATCAGTGCCTCAAATGGCTGGACTCAAAGCCATTAAAGTCGGTGGTGTATGTATCATTTGGAAGCATGGCTTGCATTTCAACCGATCAATTTCAGGAAGTAGCGTGGGGCTTGAAAGCAAGCAATATGCCCTTCTTGTGGGTAGCAAAGGAATTCAAAGACCACCGGTTGCTCGAGCTCGTTGACTCGATCGGAGAAACAGGGCTAATTGTTACATGGTGCAACCAACTAGAGGTGTTGGCTCACCAAGCAGTGGGCTGCTTCGTTACGCATTGCGGATGGAACTCGACTCTGGAAGGTCTGAGCCTAGGCGTCCCGATGGTGGGTGTGCCTCAGTGGAGTGACCAGCCGACTAATGCCAAGTTCATAGCGGATGTATGGAAGGTAGGTGTGAGAGCTAAACGAGACGGCGGGATCGTCACGAGGGAAGAACTCGGGAAGTGTTTAACGGAAGTGATGTCCGGAGAAAGAAGCGGAGAGATTAAGAGTAACGCATCGAGGTGGAGGGAGCTTGCTAAAGAGGCTGTTAGTGCAGGTGGGAGCTCAGATAAGAACATTGAGGAGTTTATTGCAAAGCTGCCAAATCCTCAAGTGTAAGTGCTAAAGAGAAGAAAGCATGGTTCTATCATTTGATAATTACCACGCGATCCTTCATCTCTTCGGTGCACATCACTAATATTTATTAATAAAAGATGTCCTCTACGACAACATTTAAGCTTGTTTCAATCTTAATGGAAGAACGATTGTAATAATATACATGAATTGAGTGAGTCAATAACCTTACAAAGTTGGACTAGAATTGCAGCAAATAAATTGATCTCAACCCTTATTGAAAGACCACTGGATCAGCACTCAAACTGTGAGTTCATTACAGAACATATGATACCGAGGAGTGTTGGAGTTAGAGTTGAGCAAAACTTGACTCGAAAAATCGATTTTTTTTTTACTCGAATTGACTTCGAAATGCAATTTCATAAACTTGACTTGACTCGAAAAAATTTCAAGTTCAAATCGAGTTGTAAAACACAACTCGAATAACTCAAAATTTTTAGTAATTATTGGATTTATTTTCAAGTTTGAGTTGAGTCTTTGGACTTTGTATGATATATGTATATCACATATGAAAAAAATACGAAGAAACATATTTGTATTATATATATAGTTATAGAAAGTCACTTAAATTGAAATCAAATAATATTATAATATTTACAATTAAATTTATACAGAAACTCGAAAAATCAACTCGACTAAAAAAAATTCAAATCAAATCCGAGTTATAAAATAAGACTTATCAACTCGAATAACTTAAAATTTTTTGACTCTACTCGATCGAACGCTCACCTCTAATTGGAGTTTCTGAATTTGGCGGGAAAAAGAAGAGAGTTGATTAAGAGGGCAATTCAATTATTCAATGGTCTTTCTTGGACATTGCTATTGAATTGGGGACTTGGGTTTTTGAAAGAAATGAAAATTGAGTTTCTGGGAACAAAAAGATGGGTGTTTTGGTTTAAACTGGGGAGCTCTTTGGAATTAACACAGACCTCCATTGTTAGCTGCTCTGTGTAAAGCTTGAAGCTTTTGGCTGTTGAAGATCAAGTCCTGGACTTCGTTGTGTGGATATTTTGATAGTATTACTTTCAATGAAGTGAACGGCGTTTTCATTAATTAAAAATTAAATCTTTAAAACCATCTTATGTTGGTTTAATTGCGCAACGCTTTAGACTTTATTAATTATTATTACCGCCTCAAGAAAAACGACCGAACTAAACCGACGCCGTTCTCGTACAAAAGTTTGATTCATCATAAATCTCTGTTTTGTCTGTTTTTAATTACAGAAACCGAACCCAACATCTACAACTGTACAAAACGAACTTAAACCCTTCTGCTTTCACTCTAAAAAATCTCCTTTTTTTCATCTCTGTGGGTTACAGCGGTTGATAATCATCTCGAAATGGAAGGAGTAGGCTCCGCCAGGCTCGGCCGAGCTTCAGCTCGTTACGGTGGTTCGACGGCGGTTTTCAGTGGTCCGGTGAGGAAGTGGAGGAAGAAGTGGGTTCACGTGTCGCCTTCATCCACCGCTAAACACTCTCAGCCCAACGGGAACGGTTCCGCAGCTTCCAGCATCCTACTCTGCAGGTGGACCCCACTTTCCTTTGCTGAATCCGGCTCCTCCGCGGTCGACGGCGAGGGCGAGGAGCAGCAGCAGCCCCCAAAGCGAAAGTTCCGCTATACCCCTGTAAGTGTTTAAATAAACGTACAAGTATACACGTATGTGTCCTTGTGTAAGGCTTTGTATCCCTTTTCTTTTGGTTTTGGCTAGGGTTTTTGCTCAATATTATTTTTCTTCTCGTAGTTTTGGTTAATTTGGAACTAAACCATCACCTGTTTGCCCAGTTTGTCATGGATCAAGAAATCAAGCATGAGACTCAATTTCCAATATAGTTTAAATATGGGTTTTCCTTTCATTAGTTTGTTTATCTTGTTCGAATATATTTACTTTTATTTTGTTAAAAATGGTTGTTGATTGCCACTTTTGCAGGTTGTTATGATAGAGGAAGAGCGGAAAAAGGCGGCTGCGAAACAGGTTGAAGATGAAGCTAAGGCAGATGATAATAAGACCGAGCAATCCCCAGATTTGCAGTCGTCTAAGACTGGTAATGAGCTGAACATGAATGATATTTTAAAGAACGAAATTCAGGTAACCTAAGCTCTATTCAAACTATCTTACTTGCATTTGGAAGTAAATAACTGCAGTAGGACCCCTTCAAAGAAGAATAAGAAGGGCATTGTTAAATATTTGAAACTTCGAGGTCATCCGATGATGGTTTGCCCCATGCTTGGTTGATATGTTCAAAGAAATTACAGACATCATCTAGCTCAAAGTTGAAGACTGGATGAAAATAAGATTTTTCTGCTTTTCTTGTAGGGTTCGAACACGAGTAATCTGGACCTAGGTTTGTGCTTGAAAGGCCATGATGGCAGCCGTAATTCTGTTGGCGAGAGCGTCGGTCAAGGGAAGGCAGCAAGCTCGATGGGATTTTGGTCATTTGGTTGACATGTAATCAGTTAAAAGGGAACAGGGTTCATGTGCCCAAAAGAATCCACTAATTTGGACACTCCATAGTAATAATGGATCATACATCGTAGTAGAGATAGTAGTAGGTATATACTTGCATATGCTTGATCGTAGTAGTGATAGTAGTTCGTATGTACTTACATATGCTCAATCGAATAATAATGTGAGGTGTACATTCGAGCTATAACAGTCGTTTGAACCGTATCAAACTTTGTTATTGCAGTTATTATACATAGAATAGACCATGTGGATTATGCTTTAAGATGGCAATATAACCTAAAAGCTTAGCGCCTTAGCCCTCTTGTGGCATCTTCTATTGAATATTGAAACAATAAATTTATGTGCAATAGTGTAGATGGAGAAAAGGAAGTTTTCAAAGATGAATCTTAACATGAAAAGTGAAAACTTCATCATGCAAGTAATTCTAGTCACAGAGACAGTTTTTGAAAGTTTGCAAGGGCAACCCTGCCTAGATTTGTCATCATGCATCAGAGCCATTGTTACTTTTGTTATTCTCAGCTGCATCGTTATCCAACGCTTCGAGTAACTCCAACCTCAGCTGGTCGAATACCTGATCATACAGCATGTATCCTGCCTGTAATAAAATTGAATTAGAGAACGATACCTTCAACACATGAGCGACCGTGCCTGGAGGCTTAGAATTATCTGGCACATGGAATACTGCATTGTTCACGTTTAGATCAAATGGTTTGTTTCTAGGATTGAATTTTTCGACTCCAAACTTTCTAAATACCTGAAAGCAAAACATTTATAGCTGGTTTGTAACCATTTCAATATGATGCAGAACAGATGCAGAGATCAAACATTGTCAAGAGTGACAAAAGAGAAAAATTGCGAAATTTACTAAGCATATGACCGCGTACAACTTCTCAGATGAAGCTGCAATAGTTCAAGTAATGTTTGTTTTGCTAATTTTGCCCCTCTACTAAGGAACAAATATTAGAGGTCCGGAACTCAAACAACTCGGCTTCATTAGAACTCCAATACCATAGGAAGCTTAAAAACAAACTACCGACTTTTGGCAAAAGTCATAAAATTACCTCTCCGAGCTGTTTCTCCATCATTTCAACTCCTAGGAGTGTCTCAAGGAGAGGTACAGCTCCGGCGGTGTCTTCGGATCCATCGATCTTAGAGAAACTGCCTTTAACATGTGCAGAACCCCTTCCTAAATGGTCTACAACATATAGGTATTGTTCTGCAACACATTGAGAAATGATTACCATCACTTTCATAGATCCCAAATGCAACTGAAATCAAGTGGTATTGAGTCACAACGATACCTGTATATCAAATTTCTTTCAGTCACAATGATACCTTAAAACTAAACAAGACATTGATCAAATGTGTACAATTTATAAATCACTAATGTAATAAATAACTGCACCCCAAGGCAATTAGTAAAATTTTCTCCTTTGGCATGTTTGATTCATTTCAATAACAAAACTTAAATAATTTACTCCCAAGTGCTAGACTTTTACACAGTTAAAGCATAAAAATTAAATTAAAAGGCAGCAAAATCAATCAAGAAAACCAGAGAATTCCAACATGATAAAACAGAAATATACAATAAACCCAGATCTAAGAATATGTCATCAAAATTGAACTGATTTAAAAAAAAACTATCAAGATTTTATTAATATCCTTCATTTGTGAAAATGACTGGTACCTTGCTACGAGATTCACACACAAGAGGGTAAAAATGGGCGGAAAAGATTGGCGGTTGAAGCTTTCTTGGAGCAGAGAGAAGCAAGGAGCGAGCACCAACGCTCTTTGAGACGCGTGACAAAGCCCTGGTCACCAACATCAGTGCAGAAGAAGGATGAGGGCCTTAGAGGGTCAAAATTAGAAATAAAGAGTTGGGCATGGCAGGGGCTTTTAGAGAGAGCGGAACGGCGGAGGAGAGTAAAATTAGAGGGAAAGAACGGAGCGCCGTCAGCCTGAAGAAAGAGAAGTCAATTTAGGATAAATTGTGTATAAGGTCCTTTTATTGTGTTTCTTTTAGATTTAATCCTTTATTATAATTTGACTATCCAGAATTAGGGATGGGCATAGGTCGGGTTGGATCAGGTTTTTGGTCTACCCGACCTTACCCGAGAATAAGGAATCCTCCACCCGAGATCCTATCCTACCCAAACAAAACAAGATTTCATTTGATCCGAACTCGACTCAATATATAACTTAAAAATCCTACTGGGAATAATAATATTATTTTATTCAATAAAAATAGTGACTTAATTGAAAAAAATAATATATAGAAGGGTATTATTGTAATTATTTCTAAATATATATGGTAAAATTATATTTGTTTCGGGTCGGATCAGGTATTTTTCACCCTAAACTCGATCTCGACCCGACCAGAACATCATAATTTAAAAACCCGACCGACTCGAATCCAAATTTTTAAAAAAAAATTCAATCAAATCGGGCCAAGTCGGGTCGGATCGAAACCCGTCAAGTTTAAGTTTCATGCCCATCCCTATCCAGAAAATACTTCACCAGGTGCGAATCAGTTTTGAGGCTAATTTTTTTTAATTCATAAATAATTTAACATGCATTTTTGTTTAAGCATGTGATGACATAACACATACATTTTAATATTTTGTATAAAAATATAAAAAAACCAAAAATATAGTAATATTTATTTTAGAGAAAATAACCTCAGTTACCAAAAATCTCATATAATATACGATTTTAACCAACTTTTTCCGGATTTACCAAAATGACCAACAAAATCACAATGTGATCGCTAATTCGCAACGCGATCTCCATTATCGTAAATTCGCGTTGCATTTCGCGTTGCGATAGTTGAAAATCGCGTTGCGATGGTCTACAGTGTCGTTGCGCTTTTCCTAATTCGCAATGCGAATAAGTAAATCGCAACGCGAATTGGGAAAATCGCAATGCGATACTGACTATCGCAATGAGATACTTACTATCGCAATGCGATAATACAAAATCGCAACGAGATACTGACTTTCGCAACGCGATTCTGACTTTCGCAACGCGATAATACATAATCGCAATGCGATTTTCAAAGCGCCATTAGTATCCTGGCCAAGTATTTTATTTTTAAATTCCAAACACGAATATTAATATATTGGAACACTGAACCGTCCACAGTATATCCCGTAATCGCAACTCATAACCAAAAACCTAAAATCACAACTCAGTCCCATCTCCATCTCTCACTCTCTCACCCATCTCCGACGAAATCCGTCCCCATCTCCGACGAAATCCGTCTATCTCCATCTCTCAGAGCCACCCTCACAACCAGAAATGGAAAATCAACCAAATCAACCAACGAGGGTTAGTTTTTTTAATTATTTTCTTTTTGAAATTTTTGCATTATTATTAGGTTTTTCATATTGAAATTGATGATAAGTTTAATGGTAATTTCAATAATAGATTAACCATTTCACTTAGATTGCTTATTAAATCAACCGAGAATCGCAACGCGAAATGCAAATCGCAACGCGATTTTAGTTTCGCGTTTCGATTCTCTCGTTGCGATAGTCATTTTCGTGTTGTGATTTTCATTTTCAGAAACTATTCTTCTTCTGCAAATTGAAACTTGAATGAATTGCATTACTTCAACCAAAAAACAAAGACAAATACGAAATTCACAGTGTTGCAAATTTAAGTTTGAAGAATAAACTACTACTCTTTATGCTTATTATTGTTTTTGGTATATCTTCACAGTGTAGTTTTTGGTATATCTAACTTAGTATGTTTATTGTTTTTGTAGAACTTTTATTCGGCTCAATTGACCTTAAGAAATAAAGTCAGCCTGGCCAAAACAATTGCGTCGAAGCTTTCACCTGCACAAAGAAAAATGTTTGAGGATACATGCTTCGGGCCATGGCTGAAAGTACAACATCCCGGTGGAGATGCGATGTTGACACACCTGTTTCTTCAAACCATGACTAGCGATCTACCAGAGACTATACAACGTCGTGATGAAGATATATGGTTTGATTTTCCACCGGCGTATACGTGTTTTGGGTGGGAGGAGTTTTGCTTAATCATCGGTCTACGCTTCGGACACGATGATGTAGGTCGGTACACTAGACACATTACCCGCCCATCATGGCTATCCCGGGTTTTTCTTGAGCTGGAGAGGCCGAATCTACACGTAGAAGACCTGACAAGATTGTTGAATAAGAAAGATGGTTTTACTCGGATGGATGACGTCGACGTTGTCCGAGTATGCCTTCTAATTCTTTTGCATGCCGCTTTTTAGGCAGAGAGGCCAGACAACCTATTCCAAATGATCTAATCAAATTGGTAGAAGACCTAAATGCGTGGAACCTGTTTCCGTGGGGCTCGTATTTATGGAAAGCTACATGGAATAAGTTATCGTCTGCCTTGGATGATCGAAAAAGTTTGCATGGCGATGGTTCCAAATACACTTTGACAGGCTTTATTTGGGCCTTTAAGATAAGAATTTTTATATAATGTTTCCAAAATTATAAGTAATTATTTAACAATTACTAATGTTTGTTATTATATTGTTTGTAGATTTGGATATTTGAGGCCTTTCCTGCCATGAAGACATATGCAATAAAAACTTCAAATGATATTCCCAAGGCTATTTCCTGGAAGAGGAAACGGACCTTGCAATGGGAAGATTTACTACGGTATACGACAATAAATAATGTAAGTTAACATAAATACTACCATATGTTTATAAAAAAATTTATTACTAGTACACATTTAACTTTGTTTGAGCTTTTATATTGTTAGGAGGCCAACACTCCTCTACAGAGGCTGACACCCACGGAAGCTGAGCTTGCCACTGATTGGTGGCAAGCTAGTAAGTGTTTTTTTGATGGAACGGTTGATGAGCAGCCTCCACTTCGGGAGCCATCACCTCACCCAGAGCCATCATCTGATCGACCCGACTATACACCTCCACAACGACAGCCATCACCTATTCTGTCACATCATCGAGCCTCTTCTCCACCATCACCGCAAGATAGGCGACCGGTAAAGATGCCACGACGTTTATCTCCCTATTCTCCACCTCAACGGGATGAGTTAGGGGAGTTACGTGATGAGGTCAATGCCTTACGTGAGGAGGTCGGTACTTTACGCAAAGGCGATGGTGCATGGCGTATTGAGGTGTCTACATTACGCGGTGAGGTAGCCGCTCTACGTGAGATGGTAGCATCGTTGCAGAATGAGGTTCATACTCTACGCAACGAGGTAAGTTTAAGATTTTTCATACTCGTAATTCATTCGGTTGCTGCCAATACTGCTAAACTATTTTTGTTAGTATTTGTTTTTGGTTTTGTTTTTGTCTTTTGGTTAATGTAATGCAATCCATTCAAGTTTCAATTTGCAGAAGAAGAATAGTTTACTTTCGCAACATGAAAATGACTATCGCAACGCGGAAATGGCTATCGCAATGCGAAATGAAAATCGCAACGACAAAATCGCAATGCGAAATGAAAATCGCAACGACAAAATCGCAATGCGAAATGAAAGTCGCAATGCGATTTGTGTTTCGCGTTGCGATTTTGTCGTTACGATTTCATTTCGCATTGCGATTTTGTCGTTGCGATTTTCATTTCGCATTGCGATTTTTTCATTGCGATTTGCATTTCGCATTGCGATAGCCATTTCCGCGTTGTGATAGTCATTTTCGCGTTGCGATTTTAAGTTTCGTGTTGCGAAAGTAAACTATTCTTCTTCTGGAATGTTTATATATGTTGTCCTTTTAAATGTTTATATAAGTGATTACTTCTGGAATGTTATCTGAGTATTTTGTGAACTATGATAGAATAATGACTTGGGTGATTTGTCTTTGTTTAATATCATGTCTGTTTATTTACTGATTTATGTATTAATTTTTTTTAGCGGCCCGATAAGGTGGATGCTTTACGTCGGGTTTTCCTTGCACGACGGAGTTCACGCATCAGACGGCGTGGACGTGCTATTACGTCTCCGTTCACCACAATGGTGCGAAGACTCCGCAAGAAGAAGCCCGACTCACCTGTCATCCCTCAAGAGTCCCCTCCAATCATTCAAGAGGCCACTGTCATCGTTGAAGAGGTCCCTCCCACCATTCCAGAGCCCGATTCACATGGGGTAATATATCGAAGTATTGAGAAACCCCCACCAGTTCTGGACATGATGGATGAGAGTTGGCTCTCATATGAGTTACCGGCTAGTACCCTTCCGGTATCTGAAGTGGAGAGGAGACAACTACCGAAAACAATTGTGGATAATACCCTTTGGGCTAAGACCGCAGTTGATTTTTATCTACATGAGCGGAGCCAAGGGTGTTACACTGACATAAGCAAACTCAACGATGAAATGTTTTTGTTGCTTGATCGGTCTTGGTGGGGTGTGCTATTAGGGGTTGAAGACAGTGGCTATTTCGATGGGGAGGTAAGTCTTATATTTGACTTATATATGATTTTGATTAATTTTTTTAAAAATTAATGTAATTCACTAATATATGTCTTTTTTTTATAAAACAGCATATCGATGCGTGGGTGTCACGTCTTCTAATAATAAGGAAGCTTAGGAAAAATAAAAAAAAATTCGCGATATACAATAATGCCGGCAGCTTTTCACGCAGTTCACTTGAAGAATCAACGAGATGAATCATTTTCGTTCGGCAACGGACAAGCTAAATTTATCCTGCATGGTGGGAGGTCGATAAGGTTAGTGTTTATTTTTTAAATTTTTTAAAGGTGTTCATAAATAAGTGCGCAAATAAATGAATTATTACTTATGATTGCAGGTGTT